AGAGGTTGTCTAAACATTGGGCACCAGACCAAGCTGCCGGCCCTGGCTTCCACTACAATTGCTAAAAAGCATCTTCGTTGGTAGTTAAAGCTAGCAACTGAGGCCATCTGTATTCTAAAGGAAAATCTCCTGCCCAACGGTGTCTCCAAAACAGGACCCGGTCTCCCCATCAAGCAAGGAATCTAATCAATCCTCTAAAAGCTTGCTTGCACTTAGCAATAAAGGTCTAAGCTCCGAAAGACCTATGGGGTGGACATATGGGAAACCATCCCTCTTCTTATATATCATATTTCTCAGCTATGATCTCTCTCCAAGCTTGGACTCATTAGTAGTGAACCTCTACCCACTTACCTAGAAGAGCTATGTTATTAGATCTCAGCCTTCTAATACCAAGTCCCCCACTAGCCTTGGGGCTGCGCACCTCATCCCAACGAAGAAGGTGGTATTTGTCGTTGCCCTCGGCCCTTGACATGGAAAATTCCGCAAATGGCTTTCAAGATAAAAAATTACCAAGGCAGGCATCCAAAATAAAGACAATAGGGATATTGGCCAGAGTTGCTCTAATCAGGGTGAACTGTCCTCTTAACGATGGAAAAAGAGCTTTCTAGTTCGCAAGCCCTTACTTGAACTCTCTACAACAGGGTCCCAAGCTTTCTAGGGATTCCCACACAGGGTGGTAAACCAAGATAGGTAGATGGGAGGGACTCAGTGGCACACCCAAGGTGCTGAGCCAGCGTGTTAACCTTGTCCGGATCCATATGGATCCCAAGCAGCTCGGTCTTGGACGTTTTAACCTTCATAGCCAAGGAAATTTCAAAGCTCCAGAGGAACAGCCACGTCTAATTGAGTGGGGCAAACCTTGCAAAAGATGATTGTCATTAGAATACAGTAAATGGGAGATAATGGGGCCTCCTCTAGAGACCTGGAAACCACTGACACTGAGAATGCCTCTACTGAAAAGTTTAGAAATGGATTGGGAGAAAATCTCTCCCATTATAGCCAATAAAAAGGGGAAGAGGTGATCTCCCTGACGCAGTCCCCTCGAGGCTGTAAAGAAGCCTTCAGCTGTGACCCATGATAAGCACCAAGAAGCAAGGATTAGAGATGCAGCCCCAAAAACCCATTCGAGATTGAATCTCCTCTATAATTGATCAGTCAACATGGTTGTAGGCCTTTTTCCAATCAAGTTTTAGAACTAGCCCTTTCCAGCACAAGAGGTTTTTGGAGCGGATGGCCTTCTGAGCCATAAGGGCCCCATCCAAGATCCGTCTGTCTGCCACAAAGGTGGATTGAGATTTGGAGATAACCTCATCCAGCAAAGGCTTCAGTCTTGTGGCCAGAACTTTGGTGAGGAGTTTATGAGATGAGTTCATGTGGCTAATGGGGCAGAAATCTCTCATCTCGGCTGCCCCCTCAACCTCAGGGACAAGAGCAGTGCAAGTAGAGTTCAATCCTCTGTGGAGACACCTTCTATAGTAAATTCGTGAAAAAATGCTAGAGGGTCCAAATCCAGATCAATCCTATGTGGAGGCGCCTTCTATGATAAATTCGTGAAAAAATGCTAGAAGGTCTAGAGACAGGACATCCCAGAATTGATTAAAGATTCTTGGGAAACCATCTAGACCTAGGACCTTGCCTTGGGCAAGATCAGATATAGCCTATTTGATTTTGTGCTCTAGGAAGGGGTGCTTGAGCAAGGCAACTTCGGACTACGAAATAATATTGATAGAAATATGGATCATCCTAGGTGTTGGACCATGAGATAGAGAAAATATTCATAAAGTAACGAATAATGCCCATGTTGATGTGTTGGGGGTTGGTCAAGACCCTTTCACCAACAGATATCTGAGTAATGGAATTGTTTCTCCTTCTGTAGCTTGCTGACCTGTGGTAATATGATGCAGTTCGGTCTGTGTCTGAGCATGTTGACTCAATATCTCTAGAACCAATAGATTTCCTCCTGTTTTAGAGCTGCTTAGAGATTGATTTGCGCTTTGAATCTCTGATCCCGCTCATTTTCAGACAAAAATCTGGATTCCTTTAAAGAATGCAATTCTTGAATTCTAGAATTGTGAGACAAGATGAGACGCTTGAGATAGTTAGGGAAGAGAGCTAAGTTAGTGATGGTAGAACGATGGGGAAGCAACGGTCTGGGTGCCATAGGAGGGTGGAACAAGAGGAGGTCAAGGGAAGCGATAGTGGATGGGAGGACCGGGTGTTGTTTTGGTCGTTGTGGAATTGTGGAGGGAGAGTTTTGTTGAAGTAAGAGGGGCCGTGGATGGGGGAATATGGGCAAGAGAGGTTGTATCTGAGTGAGAAGAAAGTGAACTCCGAGCGGCAAGGAGCTAGAGAAACTGCACTAGCCAAGGGAGAGGAGCAAAGAAAGGGGACTACAGGGCCAGGATCAAGTATGGTAAGTGGTCGGGGAGGAGGCTTGAGAAACGAAGGGCTGTCAAAACCTATAGAAGGAGATCTGAAGTCAGAGGCCAGATCATGATTAATGGCAGGGACCTTCCCATGGCGGCAGGGAATGCAAGGCAGACGAAGAGTTCTGGGGGGGAACACCCCCTACGAGAGGCGACGAGTGCTGAGATAGAGGTGCCGGCCTTGAAAGGGGAACGGGGTAGGTGGGGGAGTATAGGAACTAAAGGTCCCCTAGGGCCAGATGGGTCTTCCAAAGGCGGAGCAGAGAGGGAGTCCTGGTCAGAGGATTGTGCACGACAAAGGATTTCACCACCTTCACTAAATGCATACGTAGGGAAGGGAAGACTCCATGTGGCCCCGGCAGCTCAAGGGGCTATGATGTTGCTTGAACCAGGATTAGAAATCATGCATGCGAAAGTGGCCCAGTGAATCATGAGACCTCATTAAATGAGGCAGCAGAAAAGACAAGATGGGGGGAGGAAAGGAGGCCCGATGGAGCCTCCGCCAGCTGGAGGGAAAGGAGCAACATTTGGCTCGATGTGAGAAGGTGATGGGGCCGCATCTAACGGGATAGCAGGAAAGACAAAGTGGGGAAGGAGGAGAAAGGGATATAGCTTCACCAGCTGGCAATAGGAGGGCTGCGTTTGGCTCGATGTTAAAGGATGAAAGGGCCTCAATTAATGAGGTTGCAGAAGAGACAAGATGGGGGAAGCGGGTGATGATCGCTTCACCAGCCATCGAGATGAGGGTGTTGAAAGAACCTATGTGACATGAAGAAGTAGCATCTGGGTCGGGCTCCTTCATCAGGGCTAATGATGCGACTGATGCCCTAGGGCCCTGTTTTAAGAAGGAAAAAGGAAAAAACCAGGGGAGGGGGGTAGGCATACAAGGAGGGTATGTGTATTGGCGAGGAGGGTGTGCCATCTGATGCCTAAGACAAGCATGGTAGTAGAGGGCGGAACAATGCATGTACCCGTTAGAGCATGCAAGGGCCCAGCTGTCAGAGAGAACGCATCTCCCTGACAAGGGGAACGGATGGAGCAGTTATTAGTGCTACATCAGCAGAGCATTGAATTATCCTCAGGCTCCATCCCTAGAGGCTTCTCAAGATTGTGTCGCTCCTGAAAGTTGGCACGTGGAAAAAATTGAAATTCAGAAGCTCCCCAAGTTGGGGTAGCTGCGGCACATGCTGAAGGTTGGCCTGTGGAACACCTAGAGTCAAATGGTCTCTATGGTCAATGGTCCACCTTCCTCGTCCTTTTGTTGACAACTGTGTTCCACCCTTTGGAGAATCTCTGTCTTCATGAACATTAATCCTTACGATGTAACATACCCCTTGAGTGAAGAGGACTCTTCTGGGAATCGACATCGGATTGACAAATGTTATCAAAAGGGTCACTATGCCCAGAGGGAGATTGTCCAAAAAAAATTCAGTGAACCTCTTGAAATTCACCACATGCTGCAACCAATTTTCTTGAATACTTGTTGAGTCCCTGAGGCTATTATCCAACTTCACAGAAATTTGTGGAAACAAGGGCCTCAGACCAACAAGAGCGAGAGACAGAGAGAGAGAAAGGGCACCACCCCTGAAGGAAAGTTTTCGTGATTGTACCTGCTCCAAGCATATGGGGCCTAGAAAGGCCACCAAGTAAGCCTCCCCCAAGGGAGAGGCCAGCAATGGACCTGCACACATTTATGGATGTCTCCCAACCATCTTGGGATGGCCATGAACACCATGTCTAGGGGGATGGACGGCACACTAAGCAATTCTGCAGCGATTTATGTGCTTCCACATTTAACCCTCCTTCCTAAAGTCACAGGCTCCACATCATTCCCTTTTTTCCCAACTTCAAAGAAATCCAATTATCTCACCTGAAATCACCCACTCCGGCAAAAAGAGACCCATCAAAATAGTACCCCAATGTGACCTATTCCCAACTTAAAAGAAGGAAACTAATTAACTAAGTAAGAATTCTTAAATAAAATATCATGCTAATCCTGACAAGTAAGAAATTCACCACCCTAACCCGCAACAATAAACTAAAACCCATTTCATCCCTACACTATATTCCAAAAACCCTAACAAAGCAAATAAATAAGTCCAAACCTCCCCCTCCAAGATTTCTCCAAATAGAAATAAAAAAAACTAAAAATCTAGACAATTTTTAATCAGCCTAATTCTTGAACATTGGATGCAATTTGCATATCATTTCCATAACTATTATGTACCCTTAACCTGCCAACACATAATGGGAATGTAAGTCTCGCCAACCGGTTTATTGCTCCAAGTCTTGCACCCCCCCAATTAATTGAATACCAAGCTTGTTATGTAAATTAATTCTCAGAAAAAAAAAGAAAAAAAAGAAGAAAAAAGGCCAACTCATATGTAGTGTTCATTGATTTCTAACATGGATGGAACATGTGAAATAGTATTCATAAAACTTTAATAATGGACACTTATATATCATAAAAATTTTCCAATTTTCGAAAGACTGTAGCAATGCTTGGTAAAAGAGGAACAAGATTCCTTTTCCAATGTAAAGTCAAAAAGAATTTATCCAACTATTAAAAAATACCTTGCATCAGCCATGACTTGAACTTTAACTCCACCTTCAAAAAGATCATAGAAAAACAACTTCGAAGAGGAAGTCCTCTTATTCATAATCCTCCCTTATCAATAAAAGCATGGGCCACGTTGATAACAGAAAAACTACAAATCAAAAGACAAAAAATACACCACCGAATCCAAAATAATTACCACCCAATGAGACCTCATCATTCTCAAGATGCTCGCCATTGCTCAAGCTTCCATATTTCTCATGAAATTCAGCAATTGACATGGACACATGGAACTTATGAGGATAGGGGTTGTGACCATGAGATTTGACATCTGCTAGACCTTTCAGCCTATTCTCATAATATTGCTGTTGGAAAAATTGAAGACAAGTTAATCCAACAGAAAAAAAATAGAAAGATATATAAATAAGATGTAAACGACAAATAAGTGATGGCTAGATTTTTCTTAAGACCGTAAAATCAGTGTGGAGGCTCTTAAGCAACCAGTGAATCGGATGCATCTAGTAAATTTACAAAAAAAAAAAAATTCATGAGGTAACCATTCTATTGAGAGACATTCACAAAATTTTATGAAGAGAACTAGAAGCAAACCGTTGGGTCCATTTCTTCATCATCAGCTGCTTGGGACCGCTGTGCCTGTGAGTTAACTGAGGCTGCAGCCTGCAAAAAAAGCAACTGCAATATCAGTGAAAGGCTAAAATGCAAGTAGAGAAACAAAGCATGATACACCACAAAAACACAAATATTGAAACTATTGGACTACAATTTATGCAGAAGTAACAATGTCACACCAATCCTGTGCCATGATTGGCCAGTTGTAAGCCTCAAAATTAGACATAGTAGAAGATCATATGACATTCATCCACAGATGACCAGGATATCCATATTTATGCATCCATTCGCAAGCTTAGACATTACTTAACAGACAAAAAATATATATTAAAAAAATGGAAATACATAAAGGAATGGATGAACTCCTAAAGTACCATAATACTGTTCTACACATTTTCTTCAGAATTCACTATTTGTGAAATGTTTCTACTACACCCAATAATCAACAGCGACATGATAGTTCCAAAATGAGATAAAACTTGTTAGAAATTTAACTTGAACCCTACGGGATGTTTTATTACCATTACGATCCTAACTAATTGGTTTGAATATTTGGGAAGACAAGTAGTTCAAAATGTGTTGGAAAAACTCTTTAAGTAAATAGAGTCGGTGGTATCAAAAATAATCTCCCTTCTGACTACAAGTGGAAATTCATAATTTGAGGTGTTTCTCTGGTTAACTTGGGGCACTTCAATGCCGAGTCATGTCAAGCTACTTTTACATCACTTGAGCACAATTCAAGGTAGCCAAAGACCATTACAGCTTTTCAATGTCACGCCATCTTCAGGTATCACTTTAGTTTTAATTCACTATTAGAGAGAAAAATGCATCTTACGATTTTTTTTTTCATTTAATCTAGTATGCAAAGTATATGTTGGTAGTACTCCACTTCATTTAACTAAAAAGGGCCCTAATTGCTATCCTCTCCTCATATGGTATGAATATAATGTTTTTGTTGAGTATGGGATGGTATCTTCTTGAGTTATAACAATTGGTACCAAAGTGAGCTGCTATTACATGATTCTGTGAGCATATCAAAGCCACTATTTCAAATCTACAAACTCAATCAGGGTTTCTTCCAAACATTTAATTCAGAGAGTTTATGAACATATCAAGAAGTGAAAATCCAAAGTCAAGAATCAACAGAGGGTATCAGCATGGTAGTGTGTTGGTCATAATAGAAATTTGAAGGTCTTAAGGGGATTTGTGCAACTAGATGTACAATTCCCTATCTGTGTGAACTAAGTCAGAAAAAAAAAAAAAAAAAGGCCTCAAGGGAGCATGGAATTAGCAAATGGTTTCTTACATTTCCAATGCATGGCTCAAAATTTTGGATTGCATGGAACTGGAAGAAACATCCATGAATCCTCATGAACAATAAAGGTGTGAGGTGCTTAATTCAAGGAAGAATGGAGCCTTTGGCAGGAGCTGCATGTTGGCATGAAAGTGTCACTTTGATCCTATGTAGAATTCCACTTAAAATCGATGTGGCATTCCTCAAGTAAACAAAAGGTATAGTGCTAAGTTTGTATGCTTTTCAAGCTTGGTGTGTGGACAATGTTAGATGCAGTCAAAGTATAAATTTCAAGTTCAAGAGAGAACCTAAAGATGACCATGAGCCTTGCAAGTGATACATGATTCAGCAGGCGTTGACCAATGCGACATCTATGTAACAAGCAAGATACTTAAAACTTAAAAGAGGAAGCTTGGCAAATAAAGCATAAGGGAGGGTAAAATAACCATATTCAAGAGCAAATAGCCTCCTAAACTATATATGACACTGGCCGATTCACTTTGGTTCTAGTGAGATTTGGCAATGCTTATCAATGAAACGAAACAAGATTTGTCAAAAATTGACTTTAATCCTCCCATCAAATTCTTAAGCACTCAACATCAATCTACAGCACTACAAAAAGGTAAAATTCAGACAAATAACAATAATAAGAACAATAGAATAACGGTGATAGCACAACGATTCAATTAGAATAGTACATTAAAACTTTAACCAGTGAATATCTAGTACTACTTGCTTTTTGCAAATTCTACAGTTACCATATGCAATAAAAAGAAGGGAAGAATAACAGGAAATATCATCGATATATGACCCATAGCTCTTCCATCAAACTTCTCAAAAAAAAAAGAAGGAATGATACAAGAAAAGTATTTCTAATAGTTATCAAACTCAAATTTTATGTAAACAAGCAGTAGCAAATTAACAACGCACAATCACAGATGCTTCTAGCTAATGAATTTACGTACAATATTTGTATATAATTAAATTCCAAATCAGATTACTAAAAAAAAAATGAGGGAAAAGTTATTACAAATAAAATTACCAACAATTGAACTTAACTAGAACCTTTTTTATTATCCTTGAGTGAATTTACGGGGAACAACAAAAATTACAATGTGTAAAGGAGAAAAGGGTACCTTCTTCTTCTTCTCCTCTTCTTTGAGACGTCTTTCCTCTTCCTTCTGCTTCATCTTCGCCTCTCTTTTCAGAGCACTGGCCACAAAACAAACAATCCATTGAAGATTCAGTAGAGGGGTCTCCATTTCTCCAACACTCTCAACCTATAAACCAGAAATGGAGGTAGTAGAACTGAGAGAAAATGAAGGTGAGCTTACCTTTTGCTCTTAGAGTCAGACGAAAGGGTGGGAACCTTAGGGTTTGATTCCATCGAAACCTCTGCAACACTTTTTGCTGTTTCTTCTACGACGTCGTCCCCCATCAACCCCCTCTCTCTTTTAAGATATTACTACTACAGTGAGGAAGCGTAGGGTCCAAGGCTAGTGAATAATGGGTTCTCTCTCTCTCTATGAAGCTTGCAGAATGGGTTTCTCTCTCATAAACGTGCGGAATGGTCTCTCTCTCTAGGAAGATCACAAATGGGTTTCTCTCTCCTTAACTTGCGGAATGGGTCACTCACTCTCCTGTTCAGTGAACCCTCTCCCTCTCTTTCAGCGGAGTTTCAGGGCGAAGAGAGAGAGATAAAAGGGAGGGAAGAGGAGAGAGAGTGAGGGGTTTAGGAGGAGGTGAGGTGATGAAGGGATGGGATCTTTCGCGCTGTGGAAACGGACGGAGGAGATGGAGAGATGAGTTAGGGCGAGGAAGGTAGTAAGGTCATGGCGGAAGGTTTCTCTTTAACAAATAAATTATTTAAAAAAATAAAAGGTTTGATAGGGCTGCAGGCTTGTTAAAATAGGTAAATCCTGACTTGCAACTCAAGTCGAGCATTAGAAAACCTTAACATTGATCAACTCGACTTGACCAGACCATTGTTTTTGTGAAAAAAAATTAGGACTGCAAATACAAAAAATAGTGTCCGTAACGAATTATATTGAGCATCTATTTTGCTTTAAAAATAAGTGTTTACAAATCGACGAGATTTGTATCATTTTTTTAGTTTCAATTTTTATTGTTGTCGTTAGAAATTGATTTTAAATCCATCGTATAGATTTTTTAAATCAAAAGTACTTTTCAAGCAAAGATTTTTGTTTTCGTACAATATTTGTAGAGTTTGAAATTTTTCTTTTTTTTTTTTCACAAACAGTAATGTACAATCAGAATGATTGATGTAAAATGTTTTCTAAGCCTCATAAGGTGAGGCTTTACTTATTTTGGTAAAACTTCCGCCCTATCGAACTGAGGTGAGGCATTACTGGTAAAACTTCCGCCCTATCGAACTGTTTTCCAAAAGAAAACAGAAGAAACTCGCGTCGATTAGTCTTTGTTCTTGGTTCTCCATTCTCCTTGGGGATCGTCTCGGATGCCTTAATGCATTTGGAAGAAGATCCACCTTCCATTCTCAGATGATCCTGAGGGACCACGCATTCGTTCTGCATTTTTTCTCAACAATCAAAATTATCAGCTTCGTTTATGCAAAGAGCATGGATTGATCAAAAATAATTTAAGGAACGATTGAAATTTATATTATAAACAAAAGCCAAGTATCTCTTGATCTGCACATCTTCTTTTGGTGTATTATTTTTCTATAAACTTAGTTTTAAAATTATTTTCAGGCATATAGGTTTTTTTTAAAAATTATATCTTCTAAACCAATTTATCCACTGTTCAATTTTTTATATGTACAAAACCTCTCTCTATGGGTCTTTATTTTTCTCTCTCTAGAACGTGTCTCTCGATATAGGAGAGAGACATTAGAGAGAGATGAAATCATGTTGTATAGAGAGATAGAGGTTTAGTAGACCGATAGAGGTTTTTTTTTTAGTTTTTATTTGGTAAAAAAAAAAACAATCAAAAGAGGTAAATTAAGATTAGTAGACCGATAGAGATTTTTTTTCGTTTTTGTTTAGTAAAAAAAAAGAGCAGTCAAAAGAGATAAATTGGGTCAAGAAGGTTAGAAGATATATTTTTTAAAAAACCTATGCAGCAATAAAGTTTTTAAAACTCTAATCTATGAGAAAATGGTACACAAAAATAGGGTGTATGAATATATTTTCCCTAGCACTACACCTCAGTATTTGCGTTAGTATTTCTGAAAATTTATAAATCAAAAGGGCTCTTCAAAAAAAAAATTTATTTTATTTTTTATCAAGTATTTTTCAAGTACTTGGAAGGGTATGTAAACTAATTAAAAAAAAACGTTTTTATTGGGCTCTAAATATTATTCCGAAGTGTTGGACAACACCCTGTTTCGAATATTTCTTGCCACATCAAAAAGAATTCCATGCAACGTATTATATAAATTATAAATATGCATGTTATTGTTTTATTATATAAATTGGAAATTTTAAGGTGTATTTTACTTTGATTGTTGAAGGTTGATGCTTTATGTAACTGCTTTGCCCAAAGTAGTAAATGTATGTGTGCGTGTGGGAGCATAATATATGTGTTCTTGTAGCAATTGTTGTAATTAGCCCAATCAACTAAATTGCCACGGCTGAATGTTGAGGGTGGAGGTTTGAAGTTCATCATCACCATGAGCCTTTTTTCAAACTATTTAGGGTTTGCTATACGAATCTTGATTCACTATTCTACTCTATCAAGGGTCATACATCTTATCGTTTATTAGAGCGACACCTAGTTATCATAAAAGAATGCATTTTCAAATCTAAACCTCATTGTTTTGTCACTCATCTATCTCCATATTCTCGTCTTAGTTACACTCATTATATGCGTAAATTGTTTCTCAAATGCTCCGCATTCTACTTTATAAATCAACACCGTTTTCATAATCGCTTAAGAAGCTACTGAGAGCTTTAGGTGGAGTTCCGAGGCTCAAAATCGAGCAGCTTTTGCTCCCATAGATTATTAAGGAAGTCGAGCTCCTTGAAGGGCTCTACAATGGCATAGACGGGGGAGAGACAGGGCAAAGGGTAGAGATAGGGGAGAGAGAGAGAGAGAGGGATTAAGGTATCAATGCCAATGGAGGAAGGTGTTAAAGGTGGAGAGCAGCATGCCGGGATTCAGCCAATAATTTTTTTCAATTTTTTATTTTTTTATTTTTTTTTCTGGCTAAAAGAAACGGTTATCCTACCAAAAAATATTTGTAGATAGCCGAAAACTTTGTTTTCATCTTTTATTGTGAAGTTCAAAACTCTAAAAATAGGGCAAATAGAGTACATCTTTATACGTTTTAAAATTTTGAAAATAAACGGTTTAGATAATTCATTACAAAATGCACTACTTCAATACTTGAATTTTTTTTTTTTCCATATCTATACATCTTAAGGTCAAGATGATCAATAGCAGGATTTTGCAATGTCATCATTTGCTTTAGTGGGTTTTTGAGATGCACTTTACTTCTATAGCATAAGGTTGACATCTTATATAAACTTTTTCTTTTTTAAACGTCACAAAACTTTAGAGGGGTCCTAAACCTTTACTTTAAAAGTAGAAGCTAGATCTTCAGCTTTAAAGATACAAGCAAGAATTAGCCACCAAAACCTCTCAGTTTATTGTAAAATGTCCATATTACATATTATCTTTATTATTTTATATATATACATTATTAAACAAAAAATTGAGGGGATGACACGTGTCGCAATATTAAGAATGGACTTTATCTCTAGAGAGACTGTAGGATTGGTGGTATAAAAAAGAATTATATCTCTAAAGAGATTGTAGGGTAGGTATAGAACACATCTTGAGGGGAAAAAAGGAGGAGGGGGAGAGAGAGAATGATTGAGTCCTAAAAATCTATAAGCTATAAGCTAAAGTTAAAAGGGCGGACATGTCGGAAGAATAAGAAGAAATTCTAATTCTAAAGAGATTATAAGGTAGGTGGAATAAGAAGATACCTCGTCTCAAAAAGATTGTAGGACTGGTGATTTTCCAAATAGAACTAATATCGATCGAGACAGAGGGAGGGAGAGGGGGAGAAAGACTCCTAAAAATAATGAGTAGGGGGAGAGAGCGGGATTTCATTTTTCCTATATATTTGCTTTTATTTATTATCTATTATATTTTTTATTATATTATTATCCTTTGTAGCAATAGGTTGATGATCTAATAGCTAATCCCGCCTTTATTTTGTTTCTAGAGAAAGTACTCTCTTCCTCTCTCTTTTTCTAAATGGTGGATCTCCTTAACAAAGAGGGAGTGCCCACTACAAAACTTTACGAGTGCGTATAGCATGGTCCTGTAGGATCATACTCTACAATAGCCCCCCAATAAAATAACCACTTGGGAAATATTTTTTCAAACCAAGATTTGGATTTTGATTTCTTGAACATTTAGGCCTTTTCCCCACAATATTGGACAGCTCTTGTGCAATCTTGGGATGTCACTTCTTTCAAACACCAGAGAGTATTTTTTTTAAAAAAAAATAAAAATTTAAGGTTGGTAGCTGGGTTTTACAGATTAGATCCCCAAAATTTGGGACCTAAAAAACATTTCTAGCATTGTTTTGGCTGAGAGAGTAGGTGGACAACATACTCCCAAGGAAGTAGGAAATCTTTTGGCAAACTTTATATGAGCCACCAATGGCCCTCACCTAAACAATCTTTTCCTTCCTCTTTATGTGCTCTAGCTTAAAACCTCACATAAATCCCTTTCCCCTTCCATTTTCAGACACTAAATAAGAAGAACACATCCTCCACTCTCTGTCTTAGTAAGTACACTTTTCTGTTTTTATTCTATGATTTTTCAATGCTTTGTTCTTCCTTATTTTTTATCTTTGTATTGCTCTTTGGAACCAGACAAATACTTCTCTTGTACTTTTTTCATCCTGAAAATCTCTCTCTGTCTCTCTCACCATCTGCCAAGGCCCAATCTCTCCATTGTTTCACTAAAGCAAAGTTAAGACTGACCAAAGTAACAATTAGTGTGCTGTTTGGAAGCACTAACAAGCGATATCTGACCAAAGTAGAAACAAGCATAAACAACCATTAGACTGAAGTAACACAGAAGCACTACTTCGGCCCCCTTGTTTTCTCTCAATCACTCTCTGCACTTTAGTTAAGCTGCTTAGTTTGGACACTACCTTTCTATTAACCAAAAAGTAGAATAAATTCTCAACTCAAGTACCGAAGTATGGCATACTTTTAGGCACAAAAGTTAAATAGAACTCAGTGCAACTTAAATGAGTTGGTTCTCGATTAGGGTGCATGAGATTGTAGTGAGTATAGTTGTACTCAAATTTCATCTCAAACCATAAGAATGGGGTTGAGGTCAAGGTGGTAGCACCAATTGAGCCTCGGCTGCTATTGGTCTTTCGAAAACTACTAACGGTTCCTAAAAATGGGGAGGGGACTGTAATCCCCAGTGCAACTACAACTTTCAAATGTCTCTTGCTATATCTATCTTCTCAACTGAAAACAAAAAAAAAAAAAAAATATATTTGGTTTATTTTTCATGATTTCTCTCTCTCACTCTCTCTCTTGTCAGAAAGTAACTTGTGCTAAGATTAGTTGCGGAATTTCTGCCTGTCCAAATTTGCCCATTATTGGTACATTTACGCGGTGTTTGTTAACTTTCTTTGCATTTTCTCTGGAAATCACTGAGGTGAATACAACACAACCCATTATTCATCAACCCTTTCTCACTTGGCTTGCCTTAAGTTCTAGGAGGGTTTCATCCCATTTTAATTCCTTCTTAAACTATCGGTTCCTATATCTAACACTATTAATTAGAGAAAAAAAAAGGTTCCAAATATAACCATGAATAAATGAACAACATACATTGATAAAATTGAATTAAGAAGGCACAAAACCACATTCATTCGCCGAAGAAATGAACTGCATTCAGCCTATACAAGTCAAAATAAAAGATAACGTTCCTTTGATAAGTGCTGCTACAATTTCAGTTCTTTTTAACCAAGAGAAAAGAACAAAGGCCAATGTTAAACTGCCAAATGGATCTTAAGATGCCACGGCGGTTTAGAGATTTTTGAACACCGATTTATGATATTAAGCGAGTCTCCTTCAATGATCAAAGTTTCCCCAAAACCTCTTTCCCTCCTTATAAGAATACCTTGTAACACAACAGCCAAGTCAGCAAGATTGGCAAAAGCAACTCTACACGGCCCAGCATAGCAAAAAATATTCGACCCTCAAAATCTCTACATACCCCCGACTCGTACATTTATTGGGTTACCATAGAGGATCCATCAAAAATGATTTTTTCAAACACCCCAAAGAGATGATTTCGGTCTCACCTTTAAAGTCTTAAAAGAAATGATATTTACCAAATTAAGGAAAATATCCACCTTAGAGACTTCATACCCTTCTTTAGTAATACTGAACCAACTCCAAAGAGCATGCATAGTTTTATTTTGAAGCCCTTAAATCTCCAAAGAAACTCTATCAAAAAATTTTCTATTCCTCTCGAGCCACAACTCCCAAATAATAGCACCTCTGAAAATGTCCCATATTATCCCTCCCAATTTTGAGAATCCAACCAATTTAAGATGATACAACACATTAATCAATGAACCTGGCATAAACCATATTCACACCAATTTTATCCATCAATCATTGCCAAATGTGAAAGGCAAACGGGCAAAAAAGGAAAAGATGAACATAGGTTTCTTCATCATTCACTGTTGAGTCTATTATTGATAGTTTTATTCCTTGAACACGGTATTCTTGCCCCGCATGTACCTTGTACATCAGCGAGGGTCGAACAGGCCGGGACGCATCGGTGGGAGTAGGGGCGAGGGCGCATCACTGCACTTATTCATCTATTTCTCATTACTTTTTTACGTGTAATACCCGTAATCTACTGATTACATGTATATAGTGTACACTACAATATTAAGCCAAAATTGTTGACACGTAAAAATAAGAAGAGACACTACCTTTAGAGAAATTGTAGAATATATTCTTTTCAAATAGGTTATTTTAACCATCAAAGCCAGTTAGTTTATGAAGCCAAACTTAAAGGGTAAACACATATTGTAAGAATAATAAGGGATCCTATATCTAGAGAGAATGTAGGATAGGTATTTCTCAATAAGGTTGTTTTAACTGTCGAAAGTGTTATTGTAGCTATTAAAAAAGACACATGTTGATATAGTGAATGGGGTCCTCTTCTCTCTATACACATTTTTTTAGTAAGTCTCTCTCTCTCTTGATATCTTATCATAAAAGCACCTACCCCACAATCTCTCAAGAGGTAGGGTACCTTCATATTCGCAAACACTTTGTGCTATAATAAATGGGGTCCTCTTCTCTCTATATGCATTATTTTTAGGAAATTCTCTCTTTCTAGATAACGTCCCTTTTATCTTATTTGAAAAGTACCAACCTTACAATCTATCTAAATGTAAGGTATCTTCGTATTCTTGTGATACATCCTCACTCTTGAACCTTGGATGGTATAGATAATGTGTTATATTATATATTATTTTTAAAACTTGAAATCCTATTTCTTTCACAACCATAATGGGTTAAGGCCGATACGATCAATTTGAAGGTTTTTCAACATTAGAAGTGTAATTTTCAGTGAATTTTGAGGTGAGGATTTACTTTTTTTGAAAGAGCTTCAGGCCTATCAAAACATTTTCCATCTTCACTGGGCTCGCACCAAAAATAACATGATAAATGCCCTCATTCACACTGTTGTGTTGTGCTGCTCTCCGCTTCTTCCAGTGCTTAAACGAGAGAGAGAAACAACGAAGAAACAGAAGGCTTAGAGAGAGAACGAAGAAATGGATTGAATAGAGAGAGAATAAGAGGAAGAAAAGAAGGTAAAAATAGAAGTAGATGAGATTGATAGAGAAGAAGTAGAAGATAATGTTGATATCGCAGGGCACTAAATCCAGTTCTCTTCGCTCCATAGAACTTTATTTTCCTCTAAATCACCCATTTAAGAAGAATTTTTCTACACCTTATCTGGCATTTTGGAGTGATTTTTCCAGAGCTCCAGGGTTTAATAGATTGAGGTGTCGTGTAAAGAAGAGTAGAATTAGGAGGATATCAAGGGCTTCAGAATCAACTTTAAACAATGGGGAGGAAGATATGGAATCAGCACAACTCTTTGAGGTAGTTCCCTTGCTTCTCGTTTCCATTTTTCTGAAAGTTTTCCTGGGTTTTTTTGGTTGGGTTAATAGAAGTTTGTAGAATTCCCATTTTTTTTGTTGTTTTTTGTTTTGGTGTACTTTCTTATTATTGCCTGTTATATTGAAGAAGCATGAAACAGTCCTAATAAATTTGGTATTGATTAAGTTATTTCTAGAATTACAGTAGAACTGACTGAAGCATGTCGCAAGTGTATGCAATATAGAAGGATATCATATGCAGTATAGCATTGCGTATTCATTAATTCTATGAGAAAATTTTCTTATTTACGAATTCGTTAATTTCAAGACAAATTTTTCTACCCAATCTTTTTAAACATGAAAAAAAAGAAAGAAACTGAGTACCCCTAATTGAGTAATTTTAATGTCATGAAAATCGGTGAGTGCAAAAAGGTGAGTGTTCTGGTCAAGTTCAAAAGTTGGTGAAAAGGCGTAAAACACAAACACACCTTTTTATGTATTTCATTTGCACATTCAGACATCAATAGCTGTGTGTACTTGTATATACATATTTTATCTGCATACACATACATAAATAGAAGTACGTCACATTTATACTGTCTGTACGAACAGATTCACGCATCGATTATTATGATGAGACACTCAGTTTTATGTGTATGTGGATACTGAATTGCTGAAAACATACGTACATAACTAGATAGGTGGATACATGCAGAAACACATGCATTACTTTATCGATATCAAGATATATAGGCATATGATATGTCTACATATGCAGTGTACTAAAACATTATATGCATGTGATTATAATAAATGTATCTGATGACCCCTATAATACATCTGATAGTTGAAAAACAGTTTTTTATCCAAAAGAACTTTAGTTATTTTATGAGCTTCTCCTAATTGTGAAGCATTCTCGTACAATTCCTTTTATTGCTTTTTTGCACAGAAACTGAAGAATGCAGAAAGGACCCGAATGGATGAATTGGAAAAGCTAGAGAATAAGGCAAATATGCAGCTGGAGAGGCAACTTATGATGGCCTCAAATTGGAGCCGGGCATTGTTGACCTTGCAAGGAAAGCTGAAAGGAACTGAGTGGGATCCTGAAAATTCACATAGAATTGATTTTAGTGAGTTTTGGAGATTACTGAACTCAAACAATGTTCAGTTCATGGAGTATTCAAACTTTGGTCAAACTGTCTCCGGTATGATATCGTGCCTTAGTGTAGTTAATTTTTTTAACCCATTTTATGTACATATCAGAGCATCTGCATAAGTATTGTACTACACTGATATGTCCTTATTCCCTTTAGTAATCCATTGGATTGCCCATTGAGTCATTTTACAGTTCAGATTGACTTATACTTCCACACAGTCATGAAGGTTGAGTTGAACTTGCTAACCTTAGGATGAGCCTGTCAAATACACTCCACTTCCCAAGTCTGAATCCTCCTTCCTACTACTCCCAAAAAATGCTTGGTCTTACATTACCTGGCCAGTTAGGGGCATTAGTAAACTTAAATCTATGCAGGTCACAAAGAGTTGAAAGACACAACTCTTAACAAAAAATAAAAAATAAAAAATGAAAAGAATCCTCCATGCCTGATTTTTATGAGCATGCACCAAATGTCACCAGTGATCATTGAAAAGCGTGCTATTTTTATTGTTTAAATGACATTGGTCCTAGTGGTGGTTGGCTCTTGTACAAGCACTAATAATTCGGCGTAACAATTTAGGGTTGTCACAGAAATGTTAAGCAGTTGCTCATGTATTTAAGTTGATATGCTAAAAATCGGTGAGTTCATTACTTGCTACCATTAGATACTGCTCATTGTTATGCCTTAATAATTAGCATTTGTGGTCTACATGAAAGAAACCAAGTGACACATATATGAAGATGTGAGTCTCAATGTCAACACACTCCGCACTTTCTATTATTTTCTCATGAAATGACTCATTGTTTGCATGCTAGGGAAGCTAAGTTTTATTTTCACTATGATGAAATTATGTATTCAACATTTACTGAGTTCCTCCAAAGGTAATTTGGACAGTCGGGACTGGATAGGCACATATCTATTTGTATGATTAGTAGGCACACATATTTTGATCAGTACACACGCCTATCACATAATTCACATAATCCATGGTGGTGGATGTAAGATGTAACATTTATAGGTTTATGCAGGGGAGAAATATGGCTTTCGCGCTTTGTGCTTCCGTGAGAGGATAAAGTTTTACCGTATAACTGTATTAACCTCTAGACTTGGGTTTGTTGGTTTTGCTGCCTTTTATGACTATTCTTACATGCCAGCTATTTGGATGGTGTTATGTATCATGAAGGAAGAATCCCATATGTGGCATGCAAAAATTCCTTTGTATTCTTTGTTTGCGATTTTGTCTTTCACGTTTTACCTACTTTAGGATTTTGGATGATAAACACAGTTAAATTGTGAAGACTTAAGGTTTTAATGACCTAAGAATCTATAGAACATGTGTTTCAAAGAGGGAGGGAGTGGGAGGGGAACTCTAAACTTGGTATTGTGGTCAACTAAATGAGGACAAGAATTATGGTGAATAACTTATGGAGCTATTCCAGATTTCTTTTTGGAGAAGGATGGCAATCTTATTAAAGGTATTAGAAGAAAAGATTTAGTGATGGAAATCTAGTGCTACTCCTGATTTCCTTCATCAAAGCTGTTGTTCCAATATATTCAATAATGGCCCAGACAGCTGGAGAAGTGCTTTTGAAATGAATATTGGCTGAGTATTGACAAGTTTAGACAGGCCACAATCAGGTCGTATCTGTCTGTGATCCGGTTATTGTTATATAAATAATCAGTGGAGAAATATTTTTTCTTATTATTGAGCTATGGCCATTGGCTGTCTACTTTCTATGTTTTCGGGAGAAGGAATTCAGGAATTTATAGTCAGACCATCAATAAAAGGTTTGCGTGGGGTATGTGCTTTGTTATGCCAAGTGGCTCTCATGATACAAAATAGAACTGTATTTTTTGTGGTCGCCAAAGAGCCTTTTCTGGGTTTCCTTATGGTAATTCTAACATATTTCAGTGGTATTTGTTAATGCTAGAAGTGTGTGTCTCTATCACTTGCTTGTTATGATGGACCTTATATTTTAGTATTCACTCTTTTTAGGGTATTCTTTTTCGCAGTGATTTTGCCATATTACAAGGATGGGCATAGGGAAGGAGAGCAAAATGATAGCACAAAGAGAGAAATAGTCTTTCGCCGACATGTCGTTGATCGGATGCCAGTTGATTCTTGGAATGATATCTGGCAAAAGTTGCACCAGCAACTAATAAATGTTGATGTTATAAACGTGAACCCAGTCCATGCTGAAGTCTATTCCACAGTTGCAACTGCTGTTGTATGGTCCATGAGGCTTTCTCTTGCCATTGGTTTATATCTTTGGATTGACAGAGTAACAAGACCAATTTATGCGAAGTTGATCCCCTGTGAACTAAAACCTCCAAGAAAAAGATCAAGACTACCCACTAAGCGTCTTACACTTGGGTCTTTGGGCAAGAGTCGGTAAGTAGGGAAGATACTGTTTAATTTTTCTCTTCTCACAGTTATCTATCATCTTTTTCCTATGATAAGTGAAAAACTGAAAATATTGGCTTGCATGCGAGTTCAGCAGGAATATCTGTAGGTTGCATTTTTTATGGTTGTGGATGTCTTAAGGTACTTGACATCTGTTACTGTTGCATTTCTTCACAGTCTAAAAGTTTGTTTTTTTGGGGTATGAAATAGTTCTTGTGGTTGTTAATTGCATTTCCACTGTATGACTATGTTATTTACATCTCCTTTCAAATTAAACTGGTAACAAGTTTTTCCTTTGAGTAAGGGTACAAAGGAGAACAAAATCACAGTTTAAGTGGTGATAGTAATACCAAACAAGGTCATCAACAAAGCTCACGGTGCCCCTAGAGTGGCTTGGTAATTTGTGACTTTGTCGGATTCGACGTGCATTTGGAAAAAAGAAAAATATTCTTGAGAGATCTTGGATCTTCCCTTAGATTGGCTTAACCTCTACATGATGTGCATAGTCTTCTTGTGCCAGAACCATTCAATATTTTTGGGTAAACTTTCTAAGTCAATGAATTTTCCATTATAGGATTATTTTAGGCTCAGGCTCAAACATTGCTAATTGAGGGTTACAAGTAATACAAAGCACTAGTCACCTGGTTTGTAAAGGAAGACAAACACTGGCATTAATGTATAGGTATGAAATATGAATTGATTTCTGATAGTTGAACCTATTGTAACTGACGGCATAATGAATGTAAATGCCGGCGAACTATTTGTTATTCAATTACCTTGGTGTGATGTGTAATAGTTAATGGCTGTTCAAGAAACAAAATCACAATCACTTCTGCATAATGGATGGTTTTTCTTATGTGGGATTTCATAGCTCATGGAGATGTAGAAAAAAGATGTATAGTATTGGGTAGCGGTGTCATGCTCAGTGGTTGCATACCTGGCTTTGCATGTTTGGGGTCTGAATTTTCAATCGATAGCCGACCCCAAAATAGATGGGAAAAGGCTCTGATGATGATGAATAACTGTTTCTTTGATAATTTGGAACATTCTTGTATTGATATGCTGGTTTCTGAATGAAGATAAATGGGGTTTGTGTCACAATTGAATTCCCGTCATGCTTTGGCAGTATCCAGCAATTATTGAAGAGAAAGTATGCAGTAGCAATATGCGCTTTGAGTGGGACCTGGATCTTATGGGCATGGTCATGTTTAGCTCAGACCCTGTTAGAAAAATATTGAAAAAATAAAAGAAAGAATTTGGGTTCTATTGAAGACATTTATATTGGAGTGTACATAAACTCCAAGTACTATGTCAGATGTCTGTCTTAGTGTTATTTATTCTCCTTTGTGATTTTCAAAGTCTCCTAGCATTGTCCTTAACTGTAGTGCATTTGCATATCTTTTCCTTTTCAAATTGCTATCCATTTGACATTTGGTTTCTGCTCATATCTTCTAGTTTCTGATGTTTAGGGATTTGCCCAAGAGAAAAAGAATAAACTATGTATACTGTGCTCTGCATTATAGATGCCTGAACTTGAAAAGAATAGAAGGAGCTATATTGATAATGGAATTCTCTTATTAAAATTTCATTTTGTTGACAAATTTTTCACCAGGGCGAAGTTTATATCAGCAGAAGAATCTACAGGGGTAACATTTGATGATTTCGCTGGCCAGGATTACATAAAGGGGGAGCTTCAGGAGATTGTTAGAATTCTCAAGAACGAAGAGGAATTTCAGAATAAGGGTATTTACTGCCCAAAAGGTGTGCTTCTTCATGGGCCTCCTGGGACTGGAAAAACATTGCTTGCAAAAGCTATTGCTGGTGAGGCTGGGCTTCCCTTTTTTGCTGCAAGTGGAACAGATTTTGTTGAGGTTGGTACCATGTTCCTTCTGTGTAACTATTTTTGAAATTTGGTATTGTGACTTGAATATCATTATTCATTGGCTTGTGATAGTATATACCATACCAGTGGAATATGAGAAACCATAGTCCATTGGGTTTGTCACCATCAGATGAAATGATGGGCAGTGATTGAGAGACAGTGGGATCTACCACAAGAGGACATGATCCCGATTGGTGGGTCCAACTCGCTTTACTTCCATCCTTCATTCACTTGGATGATAATGACCCCAATGGAGTATGCTTTTTCCATATTTCATTAGATTGCATCAAATTTGAATTGCTGGTGAACGACATGATATGTATGTTTCTAGATTCCCAATTCTGAGTGCTGATCTCGAGTTTCATGATGTACAATATAACCTTGTCTGGGGATATCATTATTGGAAGTTAGTATGATGGTTCATATAGTATGCTTGTACGACCATTGACCATCAGCCTTGTGTCTGACTTGTGGTTTGTATAATCCTCCTGTTCCAAGATTTCTTAAACTTCAAGTTTGAAGGAATTTGATGGTCACTCCTATATTATTTGAAATTGGAGGGCGATACACCCAAAATGTAATGGTATTTCTAATGTGATTCCCCTTCCCCCCTCTTCAATGAAATTCGTCGAATCAATTAGTTTCTACACTAAAGCTGTTCATACGCTCTCTTTTTTTTTTGATAATGTTAACTGTAAAGCTGTTCATACTCTCTCCAAAACTTGTTGATTTTTGCACGTCCGTGCCAACATATAACATTATATTGTCCAAAGGTGAAAATCATTCAATTAAATGAGAATTCCTTCTTCTTAGATTACCCTTTTTGTCACATTAGTAATATAAGAAGTTCCTAAATTTATTACTTTCAACCAGTGGTTTAAAAATCGATTCGGAATCGGGCGATCCGGATCAGATATAGGGTACACCGTTCCGGTTCAAACGAAAAAACGGGATCCGACCCATCCGTACCATTTTAATAATATAAAAACACTACCATCCCCAAACTGACGTCAGCCACACACGTCCATGCACGTGGCCCTAGCATCAACCTGCTCGCTGTTTGCTGTGCTTTGCAATTGCTTATATACTTTTACTTTGTCTCACATCACTTCGGCGTGGGACTTTCTATAGCCCAACGTTGCTGCAAAAGAGTGCACTTTATTTTAAACAATAGTTACAATTTGTTCCAAATTATATATAGTGTTTGTATTAGGTAGGGATAGGTGGGTTCTATAAATAAATCTTTCTCTCTCATATAAGGACAAATGAAATGGTCTATAGTTATTTTTAAGATTAATTATATTTATTTATTTTTAATATTTAATCTTTTTAAGCTTAATTATATTTATTTATTTTTAATATTTAATCTTTTTAAGATTAATTATTTTTATTTTTATTTTTATAATAAACATAAAGTACATATAATTAATCTTTAATTGTATATAATTACAAAAATAAAATTTCATATAATAATTTACAAAAATTAACATAATTATATGAAATTATTTTACTAGCTCATAGGATATTAAAAGAAACAAAAAATAATACTAATACTGGTTTATAGATCATTAAAAAAAATATTAATTTATGAGATATTTTAAGAGCGAAAAATAACACTAGCTCATACCGCTTTAGAATTTATTTCAAGTTGCTTTATCAATTATCTCACATTGCAAATATGATTTTATTTATTTATTTTCCTAATTTATTAAAATATGAT